CCTCAGGGACGTGGTCACCTGGCAGAGGCTCCTGTTACTTTTTCTGATAATCCTGTAGTACAGTAGCACTTGGTTCCTGTATTGTAGATCTTGGCTATGATATGTCTGAGTTTATGTAAATGAATTTTCCTGTGCTTTTCCTGTCTTTTGGGTCCCATAATCCTTGTCTTAATAAGAACAGTATTTGTGTTTTCAGAGAAGATATTGGCCCTACAATCCGTTTCTCTCTCCTGCTTCTGCTTTCCACCTTACTTTTCTTTCAGAGGAATAACTATCTTTTTTCTTTTTTTTTTTTTTTTTTTTTTTAAGACCCACTAGGACCCTGGCGACTCAACCTTGCATTGATTTTTAAACAGAATTTCCTGTTAAATTCCATGAGGAAATCTTGTTAACAAACAAAGGGCTAATTATCCTGGAAAGCAGCATGTCTCTCAGTGTCTGTACCTACCCATGTAAACCACAGTGATGCCTGAAAGTTGTAATTCTCAGTTGTGCAAGATAACAGTTTAGATTACAAACAGCAAAAACTGACCTGTTTTCTGTGGTTTTTTGTTTAATTGCTTGGGTTTTTTTTACTTTTGACAGACTGCAATGCAATTGTTCACAAAGGCTGTAAGGAGAGTTTTGCTTCTTGTGCAAAGGTCAAAATGAAGGTAAGAGATTTCATCTACTCTACTGAATAAACAAAAAAGTTTAAACAATTTAGCATGCAGATATATGACATCTTCTACTGTACATCCCAAAGTTTCCAGCTTGTTGGAAAGAACTTCAGCCCCTGTGCTATAGTGAATAATTTCTCTGGGCTCTCCTGAAATTCCCCAGAGCCACATGTTAATACAGTAGTTGTCCCTGGGACTCTCTGAATGCTCCAGGTCAGCGCCACAGGGTGTTGGCAGCAAATTCCCTGTGTTGTTCCCTGCAGTACACAGGGACCTTATGGTGAGATGGTCTGTCCTATACTTTGATTAAAAAAAAAAAAATCACTTCACTGGCAAAATTCAGGGGTGTCCAGCACCCTTGAATGCCGTATCTCTCAATTCTCAAATGCTGCATCCATAATGCAGCGTCATGTGTATATAATGCATAATGAAAACTATTAAATACATATGTTGTTTATATGAGGAATGCGCAGAATTCGTGTTTGCCCCAAATGTGAGGAACCTCTTCTGCAGTATGGTTCTCCAAGCTAGTTAATGTTTATATAGTTATGATCTTCAGTTCTCTTCAGTATTGTCAGCACTTTCTCTTCACGTTTTCCTGTTTGCTGCACATTTCTCTCTGTTATTTTGCCCATTTCATTGATGGCAACTGGGGGTGTGTGTGTGTGTGCGTGCATGCGCGCACGCGCGTGCACACATATATATATAAAAAATACACATACAGCCAAGAACTGATCTGTTCTGAGAGGATTCAGAAAAAACATAGCTTTTTTATTTTAGTTATGTGGCACAGCCTGATGGGAGAAGGGAGGAAAAAATTACAGTGAATTTCATTTTTCTTTCAGCCACAGAGAGGGATGCTGCAGGCACATGATACCTCTTCGTTACCCACAGTAACCATGAGAAATAAAAGTAAGAAAACTTCCTTTCCCTCTGCTTTGGTGATGGTCTCTATCTGCTGTTCTTAACTGTTCTGATAACTAATATTCGATATTATGAAAAATAAGCATTTATCAAAGCAGGGATGAGAGCATCTTCAGTGCATGATAAGCAATGTTTGGAATTTCAGAACTTGTACTGAAGTTGCACAGAGTTCGTCCACTTCTGCAGTGTCCATGTAGCTTTAAGCAAATGTAAAGTCATCTCAGATTTAGAATAACTATTTGACTGCTTTAGCTTGCTGAAGGCCTACAGCTGGTAAGTCCACAAAATCTGGAAGATGCAGCCTACGCCCATGGGTTTCTGACATTGGAAAGAATCCAGCTATGAGTACTATATTAACAGAAAGTGTGAAGATTACAAGTGGAGAGCACGCTTGTTCAAAATACCTTTTTTTTTTTTTTTAAATTAAATAGTCTTATGCTTTGTGGTAGTAAAAACAGAAGTTTAATTTTGAATAGGAGCAATACTTACAAACTTTTCCTGGCTGCTCTGAGATATACACTGCGCTACGGAGCCTACTCAGTGTGACCGAGGGCAAAGAATAGGAATGAAATAGCCCACATGAGTTTTGTAGTGCCGTGATTAGATAAGCTTATTTAGTGATAGCTTGGAGATCACTATATGGAACGACACTGTATGATACAGATGTACCCACTGTGGTATTTATCATGAAATTCAGAGGTATCGCTCCAGAAATCAGAAATGCATCTGAAGAAGGGAAAATCTGGAATTAATATGAAAAGATTAGTTAAAGGTATGTGATAGTATAAAGAGATAAGGATTAGCATTTCTCTGGGGTACATACTGATAGAGAAATCTATCTCAAAAAGTTTGACCAGAAGCAGGAAGATGTATATAATTAAAGGCCCAGGGAAATTAAAAAGCAACATAGTAGATTGCTACATGTGATTATTTATCAAATAAAATTAAATTCAGTTTCCGAAGTGTATGTTTCTGGACTTACAGATCCCACCCAGGTCTTTTAAGCGTAGTGCAATGCAGTCAGTTTTGCACAGGGGTCGATGTTCTTTCCTTCGTACAGCTAACAGCTGAGATCTTCTGGTGGTGACTCTAGAAAGAAAAGGAAGTGAATTTTAGAGCCTGGTTTCTTTAAGCCATCATCATCGCAGTTAACAGCACAGTTGCATGAGCTGACTTTTCTCTGACACTTTCCTTCCAGGCTCACAACCGAAGGAGCGCCCTCGCTCTGCAATACTTGCTCCTGATGAAAACACCGTAACCTCAATATTCAATAACAGGAGATCACAACAGACTACAGCGCTTTCGAAAAGTGTCTCAATACAGAACATTGCAGGGTAAGGTTTCTCCCTGCGTGTGTGAGTATATGTGTATTATCTGACGCTCCGAGCATAGAGAAATTCAGATCTCGTTAAATTCATGTGCTATGATTTGTGTTAAAGGTACAAAAGAGGATCACAAAACCAGAAATACCCATATTATATATGATACCATCAGTTGTGTTCTGCACGATCAGATTGTCTGGGTTAGTTTAGTCATGGCATGAGTTCAGAGGCATCTGAGTTGGCCTGGTTATATTCAAGGCCACTTCACAGAGCTGCTCTGGGCTCCAGAAGGAAATTCCCTTGCCTTGGGCTGGGTACTGTGCAAGCACACATTTGCAGCTCAGGTATAGTATTAACTTTTGTGTCCATAACGATAGAGTGGAGGTACAGAGCTGCAGTCTTCATGGTGTTTTAGGACTGCATAATTAATTACAGAAAATCATAGAAGAAAATCTAATTTATGGTTCCTACACCACCTGCACATTGAGCAGTTCTACACACAGAGCAACAGCATGGACTGGCATGTCCTGGACAGTTTGTGTGCCCTGGATATTCATGGTGAAATCTATTTCAGTCCATTTTTCTGATCTTTCTTAGAGCTAGCGGTAAAGGCTCTTGGATAGCCTTTTGTGTTGCATTTTTGCACTGCTTGCACCAAGGACAGTGAGGGTGGGAAGTGACTGTAAAATGGAAAGTAATGAAAAGAAGTTATCCAAACGATAAAACCTCAGGTGTGATTCTTTATAGAAGAAGGACCATCACTCAGAACTGTAAATCTTGCAGCTTGTTGAGCCCCAATGGGTAGTTATTAGAAAACAATTAATAAAAGTACATTTCTGTACATAACTGTGCAACGCTTGCTTTGGTTTTCAATTCATATTTAAAAATGCATTTCTTCTGTGTATTTGAAAGTACATTTGGCTGGTTTTTTATGTCATAAATGATATTCTGTGTTCTGTTTTTCTGCAGAGTTGGGAATGATGACAGCTTAATACACACTTGGAAATTCCTGTCGCAGTCAACAGACTCCTTACATAAAATCAGCCGGGTGAATGAATCCATGGAATCACTGGTTGACGAAGGTAAGAGATCCCCATGGCATTTATAGCAACAGGAAGGTCTCAGTGCTGCTTTCCAGAAATAGAAAATCCACTATGGCATTTCATCAAGTGTTTTCCCTTCTAATGGACAATTAAAGTGCATTTACTTTAATCTTAGAATATTAGTATGATAAACTAAAACAAAGCCCCACATAGTAATTTCTTCAGCTTGTTTGAATTGTGGGAAAACATTTAAAAGTTTCAGTTACACTTGAGTTACTTGGAATTTAGCTCAGGGACAAACATTTCCTCTTGCATTCTGCCCATTCTGGCCCATTCATACAGCCACAGACATGCTGATGTCTTGCATGTTGTATTTTTCTCAGAGTGGGGAAGGAAGAAATGTATTGTTTAGTTTTGTGGATTTGAAAGTGAAGTCAGTTAAATTCATTTCTTAAGTTTAAATATTTTTAATATATGGTGCCTTTTTAGGATATAATCAGTATTTTTACATCTTCGCCAATATTTACCCGAAAAGAGCAGAATGGTCTTAATTTACTAAGGACTAAACAAGGGCATGCTCATCATGACAAGAGAAAATTTCCCAGTTCCTGCACAAATGAGCAATCTTTCTTAAAGATATGTATGTGTGTATGTAGTGTATGTAGCGTTCACTTCTACCTGCATCATCAGTTCTAGCTTTCTAAGCTTGAAAACACAGACTTCACATACATCATAGATCTAAGTTCCCTCAATTCAGTGATGTAAATGGAGGAAGACAAACTGGGCGTTGTGTTTTTTTATTTATCTGTGATGTTGTTGCATTGCAGATAAAGAAATCCGTTGTTTTTTATCTGAGCTAGAATTTGGTCCGTGTGAAAATCGTGAATTAGTTTTGTGCAACTAGCAAATAACCTTTAAAAGTGCTTTTCATAACCTGGTCCTTATGTGGTATAATTCCATATGATCATTTTTGTGTCAGTAAAGGAGAATGTGTGTGATGTCTGTGGTATGACAGAGAAAGCCTAAACCTAAATGAATAGGCAGGAATCTCAAATGAGACAAGTTACCCATGTCTTAATGGCACTTGCATTGCTTTGTGAAGGTGCAGACATGAACGAAGGACAGCTGATGGGAGACCTGGAATTAGATTCCAAGCAGCTGGAGGCAGAGTCCTGGAGCCAAGTAGTGGACAGCAAGTTCCTACAGCAGCAAAACAAAGATGTTGTCAAACGGCAAGATGTCATTTACGGTGAGAGATACCTGCATCTTAATTTTTCACTTATTGTAGATAGCTTTTTGATATACTCGCATGCATGGATTTGGGAAGCTTTAGGTCAGTGAATAGGAACATTGACTTGGTTTCCTCAGAAGCCAAAGTTTCATTCTTGAACTTCTTAGAAACGTAATGTATTCTGTGAAAGCTTTCTTTCTGCCTTTCACATATCCGGAAGCCATCAAAAAAAACCCAGAAATTGCCTCTCCTCATTTGTCTGCTGATGACATTTAAACTCCATTACAGCAGAGCATCTAGCTAGGAAGTCTTCTGCTGCTGGATGCAAGAGCCATGCTGTATGGCAAAAGTGCACTATGTTGAGGCTGGCAGCGAGGTGTTAGGAAGGAGCAGATAACAGTGCTGAAGGTTCAGACCTCAGCAGCAATGTCCAAAGCTCTTTATTGTGGGACTCCTCTGCCCCCCTGTTTCTCCCACACGTGAAACTATTGATTGATGTTTCAACACCTGACATGAAATTTTCTGAAGCCACTTAGAGAAGCCCAATTATGGAAGAGCTTTCTAATGGAAGCTTTTCCTTGTACTGTACACCCATGTACTCTACAGTGACCTTGGTTTTGACCTTGTCCTCATCCTATTCAGAGCTAATGCAGACGGAAATGCATCATGTCCGCACCCTGAAAATCATGAACGATGTATACAGCGCAGGGATGTTAAAGGAACTGCAGTATGATCAACAAGTCGTGGACAAGATTTTTCCCTGCCTGGAAAACTTGCTGCACATCCACAGTCACTTCTTCCAGCGGATTCTGGAAAGGAAGAAGGAGTCATTGGCAGACAAAAGTGAAAAGAACTTTGTTATCAAGAGGATAGGTGACATCCTGGTGAATCAAGTAAGCACTGGAAAATGCTTGTACTCCTGAGAGTGCAGCTGGAAACCAGGTGCTCTTCCTTCTCTCCTGTTTATGCCTGTTAGATAATCATAGCTGATGGCACCTTTACTCTTCACACATAAGAATCAGCACCTCTGCTTTTTGAAGCGCTTTTTGCTCTTTCAGAGGAGAAGGTCTGATGATGAAATTAATTTAGTTTGTTTTGTGGGAAGCAGAAGCATTCCCTGACAGGCATAGCACAGTTTGACCATAGCCTGGAGGGTAGGCAGTAGCCCACAGCAAAATATGCCCAGTGTGTTTCTTGGCTGAGTTACTGACCTGCTATTTAACTTTGGCTGGGTCATTTTACTTTTCTTTATCTGCGCTTTCTCCCTTCTTCTTTTTGTCTGTCTTGATGTTGCCTTTTAAGCCCTGTGAGTAGAATCCCAAATTTTGCGGTAAGTGTGAACTCAGTGAAGTCCCAAACTCAGCTCTTTACTTTCTAGAGATCTACTTGCATGGTTTAGGATGCCTTTGACTAATTTGGTTTCATCAAGTTCTTTTGAGAGACTGGCAGGCATTGCTGGGATATCACACCAGGAGTTCAGTGCAAATTGGACCTCTGTGTCTCATGTCTTGCAGTTCTCCGGTGAGAGTGCGGAGCGAATGAAGAAAACATACGGCAAATTCTGCGGGCATCACAATGAGGCAGTAAATAACTTCAAAGATCTGTACTCAAAGGACAAGCGGTTTCAGGCATTTGTCAAGGTAGGACCTGGTAGAACAGACATGGTTGGTGGAAAAAGTATGGCCTTTCTGCACTCTGGTGAGTGTTTTGCTACAGAACTGAAATTTTCACCTTGTTCCTTAGAAAAAAATGAGCAGCTCCCTGGTGAGGCGTCTTGGGATTTCTGAATGTATCTTGTTGGTAACACAGAGAATCACGAAGTACCCGGTCCTTTTACAAAGGATACTGCAGTACACCAAAGGTAGGGACCAGTTCCTCTATTCTAAGCGTGTATTTGTTCCTCCAGTGTAATTTCTTGGATCTGTTTCAGCTGAGCAGATTTTCTTAGAATAGACTAACTAATCCAGTCATTATTGTCTCACACTGCTGTAACAAGATAACTCAGTTTCATATCTCCATTTAGGATTAGTTATTCGGGTGCCTTGATTTAGTTGTTATAAGTTTGTGCCTCGCTAATTATGGAGCGACATGCTTAGACTCCAAAGTCTCCCAGCTTGCTTTTTTTGGTAATGGCTAAAATATGTGGTTAATTTGTGCGTTTCATCTATACTGTCTCATATACAAAGTATGTTGGAATAGTCCTCAACCATATATGTGAAAGATTTTGTGAAACTCTCCTTAAGGGAGAAAAATGCAGCCTGTCTCATGAAAGTATTAAAAACTTATAATGCGGGAATTTGGGAGGGAGAAGAGGAAGTAAGGAAGTAAAATCAGGAAGTTGGAGTCCACAAGGATGAAGTGAAATTGAGGTGTTTCTCTTTCTGTTCAAAGAAAATGAAGTGGAACATGAAGACTTGACTCAGTCATTAAACCTCGTTAAAGATGTGATTGCTGCAGTCAATAGCAAAGTCAGCAATTATGAAAAGAAAATGCGTCTTGGTGAGATTTACAACCGGACAGATAGCAAGTCCATCATGAGGATGAAGAGTGGCCAGATGTTTGCGAGAGAGGACTTGAGGCATCGGAAGCTCATCCGAGATGGGCCTGTTTCACTAAAAAATGCAGCTGGCCGGCTAAAAGGTATGATTATCCTGCCTTCTGCCAGGGGAGGATACAGTTCACCCTCTCTGGATGTAGGATTAGTCGTCACATTGGTGTCTTCAGCCTTTATTTATTCTTCTGCTTTGAGAGATTTTGACAGCAGCTTTCCCTGTGCTGTACACTCGCTTCCCATCACAGCATTTCTGATTCCTCTTGTTGTTTCTGGCGTGATAGATAGCTGCTTTTTCTCCTGGTGACTGCATGCCTGCTGAAGGCTTGCGTTGCAGTGACACCTCGGTGTGTCAGCCAAGGAGCAGAGTTGCTGGGGGATCCTTTGGGCCAGGAGAACGCAATGGGGCTGCAGTTGCCCAGAGCAGTGAGTCAGATCTCCACGCCACGATGCGCATGTGCAGCAGTTCCAGGAAGCGTGCTCGCTGCATCTGAAACCCAACCTCAGCTTCCTGGTGGATCTGCCCAACAGCCGCGCTGCCTTTCCTTTGCCCTCTGGAGTCCCAGGCATCTGTTGTTCTTGAACCTCTTGAGCTGCTGATGCAAACTGTTGAGGAGAGGCTCTGGTGTCCCTGCAGCTGCCTCCTGTTTGGTCAATGTTTTCTTGAATTGCTTTTTGTTTGTTATCAGGTGGAAATAGTTTTTCTAAGGTGCTGTGCTCTGCTGAACACTGAAGTTCTCTGCTGAATTAAAAACTAAATCTCCCAAGGACACCTTCAGCTGGGACCACAGTAGCAGTAAGAGTAGACAGGGCTGTGTCTCAGGCTCGGCAGGAAGGCTGGGCTTTCCTTCTCTCACTCCAGCATCAGCTGATTAAACCATGGTTCTTGGGCATGAATGGGGACTGGTAGCCTGGTGCCGTGCTGTGCAGGGAGGCAGTGATAACATGAAGTTCCATATCGGGTACGATTTATTTTGAGGTTTTGGAAACAGGAAGTTTACAGATGGTTTCTAGGCACCAAAGATTACTATTGACTTTAGATGGTGGATGAAGCAAGTTATGCTGCTGTTGTGAAATCTTGTGATAAGTACAGGCTGCATTTGCCTTTCTAAGTCATAGAAATTTTCTTTACTGAAAGAGTGGTCAGGCCTTGGAACAGGCTGCCCAGGGAAGTGGTAGAGGCGCCATCCCTGGAAGTATTTAAAAGACGTGTGGATGAGGCGCTTAGGGACATGGTTTAGTGGGCATGGTGGTGTTGGGTTAACGGTTGGACTTGATGATCTTAGAGGTCTTTTCCTGCCTTAATGATGCCATGATTCTAATGATTCTAAATGCATAAACATACCTCCATCTGTAGTGCAAGCTCCCAGTGAAAGCAGGTCCTGCAGACAAGTTGCAGAGCCCAGGGAGAGAGGAGCTAGTTCATACATTCAGGCTATTTTGCGGGATTTGGAATGGAGCACAGAGAAGTATAGGAAGAACTTTTCTTAGAGGGTTTTAACATTTCCCCTCTTGCAAAGCGCACAGATGATAGAGAAGAACGGAGTCAAATGCCAACTTTTTCAAACCTCCTAGAGCTTTGAGTTCATTTTGCAGCTTTGATTAAAGTTTGGTGGTTCTTTTATCTGGAACGGATCCTGTCTTCCCAAAACAGAATGGAAGGAATTACCCACGGGATGATTTAACTTTTTGGTTTGCTTCCTCTCTGTCACAAGATTTCCCAAGTACATTACACAAAACCTCTTTGTACTGAGGGCCCTGGGTGGGGCATTATACTTGCTAGTTGCTGTGCAACTTTATGATATGTCATTAGGAGACTTGGAAGGCTTGTACGTGTACTCTGGGAAAAGGCTGTATTCTGATTTAAAATCCTCTGTTGGCTTGACGTTGTGCTTCCTTCTCCCGTGAAAGAAAGCCAGGTCCTGCATCGCACGCAGGCTGTGTCGGCTCCCCTTGGAGTCGGCAAGAGCTGTGAGCAGAGTTAGTGGTGGCTCCTGAAGTCAATATTTCCTGGGAAAGAAACTGCAGCTGACAAATGTTGTTATTGCACGATAATTTACACTCCGCAAACCACTCATCAAGAGAACCATAAAACCCAAAACTTCCTGTGCAGATATTTTGCTTGAGGGCTAAAATATTGATTGTTTGAGAAAACAGCGCTTCTATTCAGTAAGCGTCCCTAGCTTTTACTGTTACGCCCATGTCCTAACTCTTAGAAAGCATGTGGCTGGAGAGGAGTACCCCTGCTCCTACAGGTGAGAGAAAATCCTGCAGGTTTCCCAGGTGCTGTTGTGTTCTGCATAACGCAAAGTCGGTTCAGAGCCAACCTGACCTGGCATCTCCAGGAGCTGCCCCTGCTCCTCCTGCTAACTGGGAGGTTGATGCTGCTTCCAAGATTTGCAAAAACAGCCTTACTGCTCCCCAGCACTGGTGTTATTAAAAGAAATGTATTTCGGGGTGGGTTGCGTGGTTATACTGCACTGTTACACTTTTTCTTTTGCAGAAGTCCAGGCTGTTCTCCTCTCTGACATGCTTGTATTCCTTCAGGAGAAGGACCAGAAGTACGTCTTTGCGTCACTGGTAAGGCTTCAACCTTTTCTCCTCCTTCCTTTTCTATGTGAGAGACCCTTGATGTGCAGCGAAGCCAGCCATTGCCTGCTAAACAACTTAATTTTCTGGCTTATAACATTTTCGTTTGTTGAGCAGACTCCATTCTTTCTGATAGGAAAACACGTCTTCATGCCCCATCTCCCCTTTCTGCAGTGCCTTGGCACAGTTGATAATGGGCCTTGAAAACCTGCCTGTCACTTGATACACTTACTCCTTTTCAGTTTGTGCAAATTGAAGCAGTGATTGGGGTGGGAGGGGGCGATGGGATAATGCAAACATTGTAAAAATGAATCTTAGCAGAAGGAAATGTCCTAATACATTGTGAGCTACTATGGGGAGCGGGGGG